TTTCTACCACTAACTGTTATTACGTTGCACACATCATTTATTCTAACCTTCCACTAGACTTACGAGAATACGACAGACACTCAATTTCAACGTACAAAAAACACATTGTTCACTGGCTTAATCTCATTGGTAGGGATGGAGCTAATAGTTTATTAGTTTCTATATACAGACAATAGGTTGAAAGCTGATTCAGGTGTGCGTGACATTGCTGTGTGTGTGCGAGTGTGCGTGGGTGCGTGTGTGTGTATGTGTGTGCAGTTCTCGTTTCTGTGCCACAGGGACAGAGCATTGACGGCCCTAGAACCCTAGGGCTACCAGCCGCTTGTTGGTGTTGGGACGAGGACGGCTGAGTGTATCAGGTGTGTGTTTGTGTGTGTGTATGTGGGGGGGAGGGTGGGGGGGGGCGATCGGGTTGGTTAGGGGTGGGGTAGGTCATTTGACACTGATAGTTGTTATCTACATGGTAGATTAAAAGTACATAGTGGGCCTAATCTACTACGTCATGACTCCGCTGGCGCTTTGGAGTCAAGCCCGCACAATAATTATTAGAAGTACTTGTTTTTTGTTATCAAACCTTCTCAATTCTTTCTAATCAAACATCATACGACTCACTCCCACGCACGGGTTATCCCATGTGGGATTAATTTTGTTTATTTTTAGTTATACATTTTAAAACCTATTTCTATTGCATATATTACATTTTGTAAATCTTGTCTATTTTATACGAAATAAAGGATTTTGATTTGATTTGATTTGATTGATGTATTATTTTTAATGGTTTGTTCTCTCTTTGGTCAAAGTAGTTAAAAATTAGTAAAGAAAAAAATACTTAAATATTCCAAATTTTTAATAAAAAACGTGAACATTTCAGGTTGTTCCCATTATTAATGTTTTATTTTTACATACCTATGATCAAAAATTTTAATTTTAATTATATGATATATACATTATTCAGGAAACAAGTTAGATGTTTATAAACAATGTTTTTAATTTTCAAAGGAATTTACTATTTTTTTCAGACTTATAAAAACGTTAGGGACCTGATATTTGTTGTCTTTGTAGTTGATAAGACAAATATTCATAAAAAAATAGAAAAACTTACATTGAAGCTCTGCTGTGGTTAGCAATGTAGGCCTATAATGTAACACTTTGTTTATTATTGGGTCAATAAAGAATGTATTTTAACAAAATAATATTCTTTTTCTGCTTTCATTTTCTCTCTCTATTTGAAATTCACCCATATAGCCTATATTCATAAATAAAAAATTTTACGAATAGGTAGTGTTTTTGGCGTCTAGGGACATCAAAATAAAAAGCATATCGGTCCCGGCTCCAGGTCTTACCGTGCCACCTACGGTAATAGCTACTTCTCTATCTTAGGAAAATTCACAAAAACAAAGGAGGTAGCAAAGGAGTAGCTAAGGGCTGGCTTTTCCGGCGATATTTAACTTAGCCTATAGTAGTGGTCAGATCATAATAAAAATGACATATTCTTGTTCAGGATCAAATCCCGAACAATTTCAGTAGGCCCATTCCCAATGTCATTTTCCATAAAATCTTTTTTGGGTTATACCGATTTTCTGGGTAAATGGGTCGTTTTTGATACAATCATTTTTGGAACCAGAGTGAAATTTCAACAATTTTAAAACCTATAACTTAATTACCTTTTGTTTGTGTACCTATCTTAATTTATTGATATATTCATTTTAGGCTATGTTTACCTAGATCAGTAAAAAAGTAAATAGATAATAACTCAATTCGATGGTTACATAAACAAATTATAGCCTATTGTAGAAACAATATATTGAACCGAATCAAAATAGATAATATATCGCAGGTTCTCTGCGGAACTGTGCCCAAATATTGATTGGCCCTAGGCCAGTTTCATTTAGCCTATTAAATACGTAAACAAATCATAGGTTGACTCAATTCGATGTCTATATAGGAAAATGATGATGTTTCCTAGGGAAAACGTCAATCAATTTTGTATTCAGGTTGTTATTTAGCATCTCCATAGTGGGAAAAATACTTTTTTAACAAGATGTCTGTGATTGATATAATTACCACAGTTGGCATTCATTGATCAAGTTCATTGCCAAGATTCAAATCAAATTAATAACAAAACAGTTCAGTTAATTGATTACATCTTATGTCAGCAAAACCTAACATTCAGTTTAAAAGAAAACAAAAGCAAATCATAACTTCTGCAGAGTGTCAAGCGATCTGATTTGATCCACTTACTGTGAAAGACAGGGGAGGGTAGGAAGGGTAGCTATTTATAGAAATGGTGGTAGTGTGCATGTACGCAAACGATAAATGGGCTCCGATAACTGACCTTGGCAAATCAGTCATTGGTCGCTGTTGGTATGTCACGTCGTCACAGCCCAAGTTGAAATATAAAGAGTGTCGAGGTTTTACTCTAAAAGAGGTTTATATTATTGGTTGCAAATATTTTGCTTATCAAGGATATCAAATCATAGACTTATAAAACTACTTTTAGCAATGATAATTACCAAGGTACCACATTTCAAGGAAATTATGTGAAAATTTGAGTTAGGTACTATAGTTTGAGTTAGGCCTACCATATACAAATCATTCATGTTCCTTTTAGCTAATTTCCCTTAAGGAAGGGGGGTGGTAGCTATTGCCTTAGGTGGCACGGTAAGACCAGCGAATACAGAATAAAAATAGAAGGGCCACTCGAGACGAAAGCTGTCGCCACTTTTACACCGCTGCCGCCACCAAGATGGCGTCCGCTGCGGATGAGTCACTGTAGTGGTGCGCGCACACCGTACCGTATTCGTTGGCATAGTCGCACACACCCTGCTTGTTTTATGTTTTACTTTATATTGTACGTCTTGCAAATGCCTCAAAACAGGAGAGCACTATTTTGAAATGGAATCTGAACATAGCCATATTATACTTCTTTTAATAAAATCTGTTTGTAAAAGATGCTTCACTGTAAGATTGCACCGCCATTCAAATCTCAAAACTAAAAGAAGAGAGGTTTTAATCGGTTGAATAGTAAGGCTGTAAGTTTGTGTATAAAGCTAACATATTTTTCAAGCTTCTAAAATAAGCTACACAATACAGTAATAAACCATTATTTAAAAATAAATACACGTCGGTAACGACCAAACTTTGTATTTCCATTATCTCTTTTTTATGCATGAAGTTGCAATTCTCCATTTACGATTCACATGCCTGTATCACATGAAAATTTATGTTTATTTAGTTTAGGTTTATTATTATAAATTTTATTTTATTTACGTATATTTAGTTTGTATTTATTTATGCAAGAACCTGGTTGCAGTGGCAGCGCTCAGCGCCTGGTCCTCGCCGCACCGTAGGATGGATATTACTCCCTCTTCAACTTAATTTATTTCGATTACCAAAGATCGTAAAATTCCCCCCAAAAACATATGTTAAGGTTTAACTCATGCTCTCAAACCTTTTCCACAGACGAAACTTTCCTGACCAAAAAATAAAAAACTTCCTCACTGAGTAACTTTTTCATGTCACGATTTAAACATTACTGCAAACAGTCAACTTCAACTAGGTATTAAGATTGCATTGAGGTTAGAATTAATACTTTTAATTGCACCATTAGCATCCACAATTAATATAGTTTAATTTTGCTGAGTTTCAAATTTTTATTTTGACTCTAAGTATGTCAAACAGCGGTGTTAATGAAAAGCGCGCACTACAAAATTCTCCGTTTATAAGCGCTACTTTCAACCTGATGCACCCCAAAGATGGCGGACTGGCGACAATCCTAGTAATGGTTGTATATAGCGCATGGCCCTTCTATTTTTATTCTGTGTTCGCTGGGTAAGACCCAGGCCCGGGACTGATAGGCTATACTTTTTCATTTTGATGTCCCTAGAGGCCAAAAAAGCTATTCGTTCAAATTTTAATATATGTATATATATATATAATATGTATATATATATGTACATATATTTGTATATACGTCCGTGAACGCTATTAGTTGAGTAATTTTGGCTTGGAGGTGTAAGGCGGGATAAACTTGAATGAGTTCGCGGACCACTATAATCGGACTATGGGAACGGGGGTATTGGGTTAAAATTTGGTTTTCTCATTTTTGACCATCAAAACATAAAATTTTCCAATTTCTCTTTACAATATTTCAAAGAGCTTAAAAACAAATAATTTAGTACATTGGAGTGTTTTTGTGCAGTTTCTGGTTACAAAGAAAATTTAATAAATTGTAAATTCAAAATTCCCATGTTATTCTTATGGAGACTAAGTAAACTGTTGTATTTTGCCTGTTAATGTATATATTTTGATCAAACTTGGCAAATTTATTTATTTTATACTAAGCTATTAATATTTTACCAAAATCACACTTTATTACCTTCCCTGTAGCAGCAAACCATGGTACTTGTTAAACCTAATGTTATTTAAAAAGATTTAATTGAAAATCCAATACTGGTGAATGGAAATTCGCTTAGTCTGTAGGTTTGCTTCAGCGGGGGTATTTAATATGGTGGTAGGAATAAATCATCCGCATGCCTATTCTTGAACAATGAATATTTAAGATAAACTTAAATAGTTTTGTTGTTTGTTTAAGTTATTTCTACTGTTCAACCCAAAAATATGTATTATAGTAGACTCCCTCTTATCCAGACACCTTTTAACCGGACTACACTCAGCGGAAACGACATATCTTTAACCGGACAATTTTATCAGCACATCGGTTTAACCGGACTAGATCGGCAGGAAGTGGGCGGTACTGAAACGACTGTTCTCGTGGGAAAGATTTTAGACCAGTAATTACGTGTCTAAATACAATGCTCTCCTAAATTTAAGTCAAATACAGTACAGTATGCATTTAAACAGTCCGTTTTAACGAGTTTTTGGGGACGTTGGTTTAACTAGAAAAACTGTTGAAAAATCATGACTGTCCTCGGTCCCAAGTAGTCCAGATAAGGTCTACTGTATTTTGATGGCCCCCTGATATTTTTCATTGATTCTAGGTTGCTGCAAATGTAAATTAACAATGGAACGCAACAAAAAATTGGGATGTCTTGTTCTGAACCATCTCCATTACAGTACTACTGTGCCAAAAAATATCCTTCCTCCAATTTACATTTTGAATATATCGACACAGCATCAAAATGCTCCCTTCAGGACATGCCTTGCCAGTAAACCAGAGGTATATGTCAGATTTAGTCATCATCAATATATTAGGACTTTTCAAACTACCAGCCATTTGTTTGGGGAACCCAATAGACCCTCATCAAAAATTGAAGAAACAACTGAAGCAATTAAAGAGAAAGCCAAAGAGGTATTAACAGAAAAGAAATCAGATGTAGCTAGTGCTGTACCTTCTGTAAATAAAGAAACAGTCATTGTGAAGAAGTCCATTGGTCAAAAAATAATGGACGAGGTTCGTCATTATTACCATGGATTCAAACTACTCTTTATTGACATCAAAGTCTCATCCATTCTTGTATGGAAGGTTCTGAACGGAGGTACATTGTCAAGGAGAGAATACAATCTGGTAAGTATTGAAAATCCCCAATTTTCTATACAGAGAACTGTTCTAAGTTACATCAGGTTTCAATTTACACTGGTGGTTACAGCTTTAAATTAAAGCAATTTTGTAATGTAACGTGCAGTTTTAACGAAACCTTCATAAAAAATGCAATTTTAGTAAAATTAGTAATTTTTAAAGCTAATTAAATAGGGTATATTAATGTGTGTTTTGTTGTTAACAGTTTATTTGTATAAGACATTTACATGAAACCTAATTATGTCCCATTAATTTTACTTTTTGTTGCACTATTCCTATGAAAATAAAATCAAGTTTATAAAGTTTAAAATGCACAAAACGAGTTAAGATAAAATGATAGTTGTCCGTATATTAACTTAAGGTCTCCACCAAGCTCCCGTCGCATCCAAGCATGTTAGCTCAAATTTGTGACCATTGTCAGATTTGTGTTGTGCTCCTTACTTCTTCCACTTCTAATCTAGTCAGTCTCCAATAATATTGGTATATTTTTCTTGGCATGACATACAAACACCTTGTGAAGGAAAATTTATTCTCCAGCCAAGTACGTATCACGTTCTGAGATTAGTTTCTATAAGAATGGGGTCAACCCCAGACAAAATCTTTTTCCAGTTGACAGATATATTAGCAGAAAAGTGTTTCATTTTAAAAATTGTGCATATATAAATGTAGCCAAGAGGGTTCAAAGAAGGCCGTACATGTTTGCACAACAAAACTGTCATTGGATGTTCATAGTTTCCACAGAGACAGCAATTGATGTCAAGGAAGCTTTGCTGGTAGTGATGTTTAACTACTAGGGAAAACCGTAGTGCTTAGCAGCCCTATAATACAGACCTCTCCTATCAGATTAAAAACTCATCTCGTTCGGACACACACCAATCAGCAGGCCAAATCTATTTAAAGAAAGAATTTTTCAGCCAAAAACCTTATGGAAATGTTCAAGAACTTTTGAACTTTATCCACCCCTAATGCTAATTTTCTACGTTCAAACACACCCATCCACACTAGTTCACCAGTTGTGATTCATCAAGTAGCTGCTCAGAGCTCAGCAAATGCCATATGTTCAAGGTCAAAAACTTACGACTTACTATCAACTCGACACTTACTTGGGGCAATGTGGTTGTAGACTGACGTAAAAAGGTGTTTGCATTAACCCACTCACTTAAAAAGTTACAACATTTCTTGCCTTTGCACATAAAGTTACACCTGGTTAAATCACTTGTTTTTCCCCACTTCACTTACTGCAACTCTGTGATCAATGACATGACAAAACCTCGCTGATGCTGTATGCGCTCGCTGAAAAGCAGCGGATATATCCGCCACCCGTATTTGAAGATATGACCATGACAACGTTAGGCAATAAATAAAAGAACAATATGTAAACAATAAATAAAGACAATGTAGGGTTGAGCACAAAACGTCGAGGGGGGAGCGTAGGAGAGGTGGTTGGTGCGCGGGAGAGGGGTAGGCGTGGGAGAGAGGGGGGAGTGCGGGAGAGAGCGCAGCCATGGAGAGAGCAGGAAAGTGGCGCCTTAGTACCGCGTGAGATGTTCCAAAATTATCCTCATTGTTTACTTTTGAATTTTTATGTAAGTTGTATGTTTATAAACCATGTGTTATGTATCCAAACACCTAGGCCTACTATTAGCTAAATTAATACCTCTAAATTATCACATGTGTTTACATACAGTAAAAGGGCAAAAGGTTTCACCTATTGTAAATTCCCATATTTCACATTCTCATCAAACACTATCCTTTATTATTTAATAAGCTGAAATTTGTAATCACTGGAAGTTATTTATACAGTTTGAATTATTTTACAAAATTATTCTTCTCTTTCACTTTCAAAAATATAATTAAAATACTCTTGATACATAACCAACCAACCAATCATAAAAGTAGCAGTGAATAGTGACATCAAGAAACCAGTGAACTAATTGTTGAAACAGATGTATGAAAGTGTTTCGTCTGCTATCAGCTGGTTTGAAAGATCGATTGTCTCATTTGGCGAATTTTATAATTTTTAAAAAGTACTTAAGTAATTTAAATATTTGTGAGTGAAATTATTTTCTAGTGCTATACAGAGTATGCCGTGAATAAACTTTTATTGTTGTCTGTGAAGGATAATTTAGAATCTTAACTAACTTAAGTGGATTGTCGGCAGAAATTGGCGGCACAACCATAGTGTCACCACTTCAGTTTTTGGATTAAGGCCAATTTAAAAACTAAAGCTCTCAGACCTGTATATTTTGGTTTTTTAGATGGTTTAACACTCTCTGAACAATAAACTAATCTCAAAAATCTGATTAGGCCAAGAAAATATTATTGTATAGACTTATTTTAATACACTTGCTAGTACAGTCTGTTTCTCTAATAGCAGACATCCATTGTAAATTAGCATTTCACTGAAATAGACCTCCTTAGCACAGTCAGTTTTTCTTCGCAATAGACCTTTCTAGTACAGTCAGTTTTTTTTGTGCAATAGACCTCTTTTCACAGTCGTTTTCCATTGCAATAGACCTCACATGTACAGTCAGCATATCTTCGTATAGACCTCTAGTACAGTCAGTCTCCATCGCAATAGACTTCTCTTGCTTAGTAACTTTTCATCATAATAGACCCTTGTTCACATTTCTGGATATTCTTCTGGATATCGGCATCTTCGGGTCTAGTGGCATCATTGTAAAAATAAAAGTCGGTGGTGAATCGAGTAGCTGCCGTGAAGATCAGTCATTTACAGTTTAAAATGCCCCCGAAAAAAACCTTAATGGAAACCTGCTGTCCAGTATGCGTCAAAGTCGTCCAAGATGAAGATAGCATCCAATGTGAATCCAGTTGTCATCGATGGTTCCATATTAAATGTATAGGAATGCCCAAAGGTGAATTTAACAAGTTTACTAATAACAGTGTGTTAACTCGGGCATGTTCCCGCGTTGACTGTACACCTCTGGCAAATATTACTTCTGCTGACATCTGGGATAAATTAAATAACGTTATGGATAAGTTGGACGCACTTAATGGCAAAGTTGAATCTCTCCTCTCTATCCCAGACAAGATCGATGATATTAATACTAAAATAGGTACTATTAATAGTAAACTAGCTAGTCTGGAAGCTAGGATTGATCAAAATAAAGACCGCATCAATTCCTTAGAAGATAAGATAACCACATTGGAGAGCACCAGCTCTGCCCCTTCATTTGGATCTGAAGATATTATTGCCGAATTAAAAGACCGGGAAAAGCGTTCTTTTAACATTATGCTCTACAATTTACCAGAAAGCCCCAATCCCTCAGTTGAGTCCAGAGTCCTGCATGACACAGAATTGGTCAAAAAGGTGTTAAGTCTTTTTCTTGATAACAATTCTTTTGATGGGTTGAACTGCATTCGGGTGGGCAAGTCTTCGGAAAACAGTGCTCGCCCCACAAAAGTCATTTTGAAGGATGCTGCTCTGGTCAGACGCTTGTGCTCCACTTTTTCAAGTGAAACCGTCAAGACAAAGTATCCCGATCTACCCTTGATTGGTATGACAAGGGATCGAACACAAAAAGAGCGAGCTCATCTAAAGAAACTTCGGGATGAGCTAGATGAAAGAGTTAAAAAAGGGGAAAAAGACCTGACTATAAAGTACATAAACGGAGCCCCCACCTTATTTAAGACCAGTCCAAAAAACGCCTAAACTTCCACGGTAACACTCAAAACGTCCTTTTGTACTTTCAAAATGTAAATGGCCTTAGAACCAAACTGGAAGAATTGAAGGTAACCGTGAATACTTGCTCTTATAATATTATCTGTCTGTGCGAGACTAATTTACATGACGCCATCTCATCTCCTGAACTTGAACTTCACAACTACAATATCTACAGGCAAGATAGGTCCATAGCTACAAGTGATAAACAATCTGGTGGAGGATGTCTGATAGCTGTTGAAAACAAATTTTCTTCTTGGAGGCTTTGTACTTCTATTTCAACTGTTGAATGTGTTTTTGTTGGTGTGAAGATTTCTGCGAGATCTTACCTAATTTGTTCTGCTTACATTCCGCCAAACGCAAATGTTCTCGCTTACGAGGAATTTTCTTTGGCAGTTGAAGAGATCCTTTCTAACCACTTCTTTGAAGGAATAATCATCACTGGTGACTTCAACCAACCTACAACTGACTGGACTTCGTTTGAAGGGGCACGTGTGAATAAATCGTCTCAAGTGTTGATTGACCTTGCTTCAACTTTCAATCTCAACCAACTGAATACCACATCTAACAAACGAGGTGTTACTCTTGATTTGATATTTTCATCTGTATCATACTGGACCGTTGAGCAGGCTCTTGACATTCTAATCCCCCAGGAGGAAGATCATCCGGCACTATCAATGGCTATATCCATCCAAGACCAGACCTCATCTACTGGTATCCAGTTCATCCCTGACACTAAACGCTGTGACCATTTGATGGTATACGATTGGATTTCTAAGCTCTCATATCCTACGACCAACATAGAGTCTGCTGAAGTGGATTTTCAAGCTTTTTGTTCTGATCTTACGAATGCCGTATCTGCATGCAGTCCCTTGATGAAGCTTGGTAGATCACCGTTTCCTCGATGGTTCTCAGTGGACTTGAAGCGCCTAATTATCTTGAAGAAAAAAGCCCATAAAATGTACAAGATAACATCCAGCCAATCCCATTTAAGGAATTTCAATCTACTTCGTGCCCAATGTTCCATTATGGTCGCCCAGTGTCGTCAAAGGCATCTTGATCGAATGGATACTTCCATTAGAAACAACCCTAAATGTTTCTGGAATTTCGTCAATGAACAGAGGAATACGTCGTCTAGTCCTAATTCAATCCTTGTAAATAATTCTGTTGTTGTGGAGCCAGTCAAAATCTCACACGCCTTTGCTGACTACTTTTCGTCAACTTTTACTGAGTCAGATGAAGATCCTCCAAACCTCGACTTTGTAAATTTCAAGACAATATCATCATGGCGCATCTCTGCCGAAGC